CCAGGTACACTGACTCTTCTATAATGGGCTAGGGACAGACATTCATAAAGCCTGAGCCTGAATTGATTCATTCTTTGTAGGTTAATCTAACCTGGTTGGGATCTGTCAGCCTTCCTGCTGGAGGAGAGTTAGCAAAAGGCACTATTATATTTAACTAGTATACTTAACCCTTTATTTGCAGGGTTTTAAAAGCCACAGTAGATGTTTTGTACGCAGATTTGTTAAGACTTTAGAAATCCAGTGTGATTAGACCACATATAATATGACAACTAATTCATAACATTCATGGGAAGGATCACAATCTAAAGGAAACAGCTTTTAAATGAATATGTTTACAGAAAGGATTAGAACTAAAGCCAGTATATTTGTAAACTTCTAGGGGCAGGAACTCTTTCTTCTCATAAGTCTGCAAAGTGTTACGAAGGTCCTGTATAAATAAGAGCCGTTACAGGAGGAAGCTGTATTGACTATTCAGTGTCACTTGCACACTGGTGTGCAAGTGACATTGAATAGTGAAAGATTTAATATTGATGAATGCTTCATTCACCAATTCACAAACTGCTGAAGTATAATTTTGGATGACTTTTTAATGAGGCTAATCCTTTTGCAGCATTGTGGGTATGTCCTTGTTGACATGTTGGATAGCACTGCGGGTGCTTTCTGTGTAACGTGTCAGGTGGCAGACATTGGGCAGAATTTGCAGACATTGGGAGGCACTGCAGGTGCCTTCTGCCTGGTTTGTGAACCAGCACTGTAGGCATACTCTATTCCTTCTCACTTGCTGGATGACATTTATAAAATCTGCATAACAGATCACACAGTAATACAAGCATTGGAAGCCCTGGGGTGCCCCTGCCTGAAGTGATGGGCAGCAGTGTATAAGCACATTAGATGGTATAATTGCCATTATGTATTTAGGTATGTTCTCCCTGCTGTGTTAGGACAGCAGGCAGTTAGTTTGGCATGGTGGGTGGCCTCACTGATATCAGTAAAATAGTAAGTGTGTCTGGCCTGACACTCGATTGTTAATAGTGATGGTTAGTTGTTGTATTGTATGTATTGTTATAGCATCTAAGAATCTTACTTAGGACCTGGGATTCATTGTGCTGGATGCTATTTATAGAGGTATTTTGTCTAATACACAAGATGGCATCAGGGAATGCTGTGAATATGTGCCTCTAGCAGCAGGCAGTTTGCAGGTTAATCTAACAAATTATGTTTTTAGTCTTAGTTTAATTAGCTAAATTCTCCTCTAAAAAGGATTTTATTGGTTTTGCTGAAAGTAAGTGTATGGTGCAGGAAAAGCAGACTGTTCACTTGTGTTACTGATCTTCTGTCATTTGTTAATGTTGTAATTACTAAAATGACAATATGTTAGATAATTGCATTACAAAATTCAGTATGAAGAGCGATGCAAACTTGTATATCCTGTCTTGATGCATTTTTAGTATAGTTGAACCTACCTTAGGGCAGAGGAATAGATTAGATAACTTTCCAAGCTCCCTTCTCAACCCAATATTCTTTATGTCTAAGTGTATAATGCATTTAAAGAAAGCAGAAGACCAAACCACAGGGGCACAAAAAGAATGTAGTGGGCAAAAGTGGTGGGTTTTAGTGTTACTTCAGCAGCTATAGAAGTTGGTCATAGAGCAGTCAATAGTAATAGTGAAGCCACTGGGACTGCTCATGACTTAAGAATTGGTGCTCTTGCCTAGATATGGATAAGGAGCCAAATAAAGAAAAACCTAGTAGATTAGTCAATTGACTAATAACCTCTTGGGTAAATTTTTTCTTAATTATTTCTTCATAATTCTAACTAATTTTCTTAAATAAAAGTTGTCTCTCACCATTGCTAATCTTCTGCAACTTTTGGGGGATTTCAGTAAAAAATAATTTTCCCTACTTGCTGCATCAATTTCTGTATCCTACAGTGATCAGAACGATTTGGCTACAGAACAGAATATTACTGAAAACCAGAGACACTTTAATTTTGTTTTTCAGGCAACAGTGAAGCAATACCACAGTGTCCTCTCCATCTGTACTCCACAAAGTGAGTGTGTTTGATGTTTAAGGGAATTCAAGTACAGTAGGTTATAAACCTTGTTTTGCTGAAAAATAATTCAGTAGGGGCTCCTGCCAACTTAAACTCTGAAGGACATACATACTCCTTCAGTCCTTCCACATGCTGCAAGACTCGGCCTTCTCTAACGAGTTCTTAATCCACTTAGAAAGCAAGTTGAAGAGAGATGAATAGCCTGGGTACCATCACTTCTATCCCGAGGAATAAAAATTCTTTCATTTTGCACATAGGTTTATTTAGGGGTGATTATAAAGTAAAATGATACTTTGCAGGTTTTGCTGTGAAATTGCATTTTTATTTTGTGTATGCAAAAAAATTGAAAATAAGATTTGAGCTTTTAAAATCATGACAAATATTTTGTGCAGTCCTATGCCATATTCCTCCCTGTGCGTTAGGATGGATCTGTGCCCTCTTGCATACTGGTATCTCAAGAACTAGAAAAAATGGTCTGTGTGGCAAATACTGTGTTCCCAAAATATCCCGCATAGCACCATGTGCAGTCATTCTATTCACGTTTCTGTATGTTTTTACCATTAAATTAATGAGGTTTCTCTAAAGAGCTGCATGCAGTAACCATTGCCTTAGATCTTCTCTTTTCTTGTTTCAAATAGACATTATCCCCATATAGTGACAGTCCCAACTTTCCCAGCAATGGCGGCATACGGACAGACCCAATATAGTGCAGGAATCCAGCAAGCTGCTGCTTATACTGCATATCCTCCTCCAGGACAACCTTATGGAATACCCTCCTACAGTGAGTACAATGACTTGGTTACTTTTTCTTTAAGAACCCCTGCTTTCTCTAGCAAATGGTTTCATCTTTCGTACTGAAAAAAGAAAGTGCCCAACCTTCCAATCAGAAGTTCTCCAATTCTTTCGGTAGGTGTTTTAGTTTTTTTCACTCGGAGAAAATCTCATGTGTCCAAAGCTTTAAAAAGGCTTTTAACAGCTTGCATTTATTAGTTTTAAACCTGTTTCCTAGTAATACCCTTGTATATACCCTAGTTTGAGTACAGCGAGAGATGGTAAATAGTAAATCTATTTACTTTCTCCAAAACTTTTATTAACTTTCTCGACCTCTCTTACCCACCCCCAAGTTATTTTCCTCTGGAAAGCTGGAAAGTTTTAGCCAATTTAATCTCTGCACTTATGGAAGTCTCTCCATGCCCCAGATCATCCTTGTTGCCCTTCTCTGTGTATTTTCTAGCCCTACTGTACCCTTTTTGGGGTGGAGAGACCAGAACTGCATGCAACACTTGGTGTAAGCGTACAATTGATTTAATGGCATAAAGAAATGTTGTATTGTTTTCAGTTCCCTTTTTAATTGTTCCTAATATTCTATTTGCCTTTATGGCTGCTTACTAAATACCGAGCTAATTTTTTTCAGAGAACTATCCACAATAATTCCAAGATCTCTTTCTTAAGAAGTAACAGCTAATGTAGAGCCCATTGTTGTGTTTGTGCATCTTGGGTTATTCTTTCCCACATACATTACTCCATGCTTACCAACCTCATCTGTCCTTTTGTTGTTCATTTACTCAATGTTATGGGATCCTTCTGCAGACTTTCCTTTGTTTCATCCCTCAACTGGAGGAGAATTGTACTAACATAGGCTTTGATTATCTTATGAGCTAAACAAGCTTGGGACTTTAGCAGAGACATCCTAAAAAAAAACCCACCTGTAATGAAAGTGGCATTACAGAACTCTGTAGCCGGTGAATTTTTCTGTGACTGGGATAGAGCCAGTGTTGAAGTGTAGTGCTAGAAAATGCTATGTTTTTGCACTAATCACAGTTGAGAGAAGGCTCTGACTGCTTATGACCATTAAAGACCTCAGTTGGTGCACACTGTCATAGCTTCACTGAGCTAGAATGCTGATCTATTTTGTCTGATAATCTAAACATATACGTCCCTTTTTGCAAGACAGTGAGTATGTAATAGATACACTAGGACTAGGAATCGCTTTGCCATATTAGTGGCATACTAGTAGTCAATGCTATGAAATATTTTGTGATGAGAGATAATAGATATTTGAAATGGATTATTAGTAATATAACAAATGCTTTCAGACATAGTGAATATAATGGAAAAGCATGTATTCTGTGCCTCTGTCTTACCATTTTCAACAGCAAAAGAGATCACTTCTGTTTGCTGTGTGTATATGAAATGTAGTGGACTTAGGCTTCACCCCATGTATATTGATACCATGAATGGTATAGTTGGAAGGTGTTGGACTTGTTTACCGTTAGTCACACTGCAGAAACTTCAGATCTCTGTGCTACTGTAATTCACAGAATCATAGAAGTCGGGTTGGAAGGGACCTTATAGATCTTCAAGTCCGACCCCCCCGCCTGGGCAGGAGAAAAACTGGGCTCAAATGACTCCAGCCAGGTAGCCAGCAAGCCTCTTCTTGAAGACCCCCAGGGTAGGAGCCAGCACCACTTCCCTCAGAAGTGGGTTCCAGATCCTAGCCGCCCTGACCGTGAAGTAGTTCTTACAGATGTCGAATCTAAACCTACTCTCCAACAACTTATGGCCGTTATTCCTTGTTATGCCAGGGGGCACTAGGGGAAACAAGGTCTCTCCCAAACCCTTCTGGTCCCCCTAGTGAGTTTATAGACGGTCACCAGGTCCCCCCTCAGCCTTCTCTTGTGGAGGCTGAACAGGTTCAGGTCCCACAGTCTCTCATTGCAGGGTCTGCCCTGCTGTCCCCAGATCATGCGGGTGGCCCTCCTCTGGACCCTCTCAATGTTGTCCACATCCCTCTTGAAGTGCGGCGCACAGAACAGGACACAGGACTCCAGCTGTGGCCTGACCAGTGTCACGTAGAGGGGGAGGATCACCTCCTAGGCCCTAGTTGAGATGCACCTGTGGATGCACGACAAGGTGCAATTAGCCCTGCCAACTGTGACCTCGCATTGTCGGCCAATACGAATTGTGTCGTATTCATTCTTGCCGTGTTCATATACACAGAGTAGGCTTTGTGAGACAGACAGAATGATGGGGTGCCCGAAGAACTAAAGTTCAGGGAAGGTGCTTCAGACTGGAAAAAATTAGAACTAAAGCTACAGAAAAAACAAGATGGGTTGCTGAGGCTATTTTTTCATACAAAAATAGTTACCTTAAGTACAGGTGGAAGTACCTAAGGTAAAGAGAGAGCCTTCCAGGAAACGACTTCCCCCATTTTGAAAATCAAAGAGGTTCCCGTTCTGTAGCTATGGCTTAGATGTTGTGGACAGCAAACGTCTAGGTGCTGATCTGCAGTGGGCACTGTGAACTTTTTTGAGTTCTTCACTATTGGCTACAAATACTGTGGTGGTGTTTCTTTTTTTTCCTCCCCCCTTTTCCCCTACCCAATTGTACAGTCTGCTTTGAGGCCCTTGTGCTCCTGAGACCTTGTTTACCTTGAAAATACGATATCGCTTCCAAGCGTACAGCAGAGGAAACAAGAACCTTTTATACAGCCATCGACAACAGTTTTATAAAGGGAAAATTCCACCTAGTAACCTGGGAAAGGCCTGGGTAACAGGCTTAGTAAAAGCTAATGTATATTAAGGCGATATGAGGAATGTTTTGAGTTGGTTTTCTGGAATTACATTCGTGCTTGTATCAGCTGGGTGGTTTCCAAGGCAAACTCTGAACAGTTGTCCCTGTTAGAGCAGGTGAAAATATGGCCATTTGCTACTGGCTAGTGTCTTTAGGGTGCACACATGTCAGGCCCACTTGCTGCTTATAAATCCTGCAGATTACCTACTACCATCACTGAACAGTGGTTTTTCTCCCTCCACCCCTACCCTCTATAATATATATGATACTGTATATGAAAAATCCCACCTGGCTGACTACCAAGAACAATGAAGCAGTATTGTTTCTGGACACAAAAATAAAACTAGGCCAGTTTCTAGACAAAACAGAGCATTGTGTGGAAATTAATTTGGTGCTAAGTTATTTCACTGTCTGACAACAATTTTTAGACTTCCAGAAAGGCCCAGTCACTGAAGATTAATTGTGGTTGGAGCTGTAATAGGTTGAGTGTTCACATGCATGGTGCTGATGTAATTGAAAAACAAATGTGATGTTATGAAAAACAGCTTCTCTTCGCACACACCCACAAAATCCCTTAACAAGCAGGCTCCACTACCACTGATAAAGCCTGGTGCTTACAGCAACACACGTTCACTAATCATCCAGATAGATATACTGGATTTTACCATAGGTTGTTGTTACCCCCATTGGTAACCTGCATATAAACTGTGTGGATTTCATCTAAAACAAATTATTTTTGTATAAATGGGAAGAGATGAAAAGTAAAATAAACAACCTTGTCCAGAAAAAAGCTAGTCAGTAAAACTTACCCTACCTAGTCTGAGAGAGTGCAGACTTTTGCTTTCTCAGGATGGAGGCATTGCCAAGCTAGAGAGCAAGAGTCACAAATACGATTCTTTGAAGCTGTATGAATTTTATTTGACTGGATTGTTTGCCTAAATATGCAGAAAAATGGCAGCAACCTGGACAGCTTGGAAATCTCAGGACATACCATCAACAGGCTCTTTGTTTAGCCGTGATGCTCAGGGCATGTTTTGTGGCCAAGTTTTTTGTTTTGTGCAAATATACACGCAAACAGGTAGAGGTTACACCCAAAGGGTTTATAATGAGATGCACCTTTCAGCTATTTGTTTTAAAAATACAGCTGCATGTTCTCAGCAGCTCCAGGCATAAAATATTAAGTATTTTCACAACTGATGAAGGTTCTGTCCTGCAGTGTGTAAATCGGCTAGTACCTGTCCCCCTCTGATTCAGCGTGAGCTTCAAGTCTTGATTTTGGTATCAAGATCTTTGTTTATGTGGGATTTGCCTGTTGCTTTATGAACTGTACAGGAACATCTGCTGCTCGCACCTAGCTGATAATCTTTGACCATGACCGGCTAACAGACATTGCACGTTCCAACTGCAGCTAATCAAAAATGCAACTGTAACTAAAGCAAAACTCATTGATGTTCACCTCAATTGTGTAACTAGGCTGGGGAGACGGGGGCAACTATCGTGGGTGCTGATAGAGAGGGGGGTGAAGGGGTGGGAACTGGCATCTCCTGCAGCCACATGATTGTGACTGTGGGGTCAGGGGCAACTGGAAGTCCCCAACTGCCCACATGGGGCAGCCATCCCAATGTCCTGCCACACAGTTATGCTACTGATTTATCTGAGAAAGTATCATTAGTATTGACATGTTGGTAATTAATTACTGTCATCTGAGAATGCTTGAACCGTTTACAAATCCAATCCATTAGTTCAATGAACTTTTAATATTAAATGTGCATCTAAAAATTCTTTCTGGAAAGCGCATTACTCGTTTTCTTGTCTTAAAATCTTAGTTATCTGTTCTGTGAGGAAACACTGCCTTATGTAACTACAACAACTGCAACAATCCCAGAATGGGTGTTAACACAGTTGGCACAGGCAACTCTTGAAGAACACATAGATTGTATATGATTTAAGGAAGATATCTGGCTAATACTGGAGAATGTTAAAAATGGCTGCAGAAAATTGGATCTGTTTGTTAATAAGATCCAATTTTAATAGAACTTTTGTATTAAAAAGCCATAGCTCCATCCCCTTCAATTCTAGCTAAAATGTCTTAACCTTGGAAACCTTTTTCTATACCAATATATGTTGAGATCAAGAGGAACACTAACATCATGCTTTTGGTTCCTGTTATATCCTCCAAAGGCATTAAAACAGAAGATAGTCTGAGCCATTCTCCAGGACAGAGTGGGTTCCTTAGCTACGGATCCAGCTTCAGCACAGCAACACCGGGACAAGCACCGTACACCTACCAGATGCATGGTCAGTATGGCTGGCTTTCTTGCAATGCATGGTCTGATAAGGCCGGCAGCTTCAAGTACCAGGCAGTGAAATCAGGTTTTCTGTGTTGAACGTATAAAGAAAAATGGGGTAGCACAGAACTGCTGCCAGGAATGTGCTGTTAGGACTGCTGAGGGTGGGGGAGGTCGGTATTATATGTAATCTAATTTTTTTGTCAGGAGAGAGATGGTTCTTTATTAAGCTGCAAGGCTCAGTCACAGTGTGTCCTAGCATCATTCCAACATTACTGGTACATAGATTATGTCTTTACTGCAATAAGGCAATTTATTTCATGAGGTGGTATCTTAGTATTAAATCTTAGTGGAGGTGAGACACAGGTAGTTTTTACTTCTGTGTATCTGTAACTTGACCTGAGGTTGTGTTGGACAAGCTGTATCTTGTTGGCACTACAATGCCTTGTCTTTACTAAAATTTCACAGTGCATTAGGCTATAACAATGGAAAATACTGTTTTGGGGGGTTTTTTCAGTGAAGATACATCCAGTATCTCACACACAATATCTGCCTTTTGTGGGGTGGGCAGACTACGTATGCTGTGGTAGCAGCAGCTGGGGACTATTTTTGAGGTCCTGGCATAAGTAAAGCTCCTGTGCCCTCCACCGCTCCGGTGCTCAGTGGCACCTTCCCCCTACCCCCGACTCTTGCAGGATACCCAGAACGCTCACCCTGCTTGTTACGCACCTGTCTGCCCGATCCCAAAGCACAAGTGGTCTGTCTCCCACAATGCACCCAGTACTGGAATCCCAGCACATTCAATAACTGCAAACTGATGCAGTGAGACTGGGAATATCTTTGTAATTTAGCATTTTGAAATATGCTGTGGGGGGAGCATTTTCAGTATTGCTGACCTTAAGCATTCAAAAATCACGACTGAATCCCAAATTGGCTTGGAAAACATGAGATTTAGAAAAACATCAACAAATGGGGAGCAGCTGCCTTTTGTGTGAATTTTCTGTTACATTTTCAAAGGTTGGTCCCCACTCCTGTGGGCCAGAAACTTCATTTAAAATAATAATCTCTCCTTTTTTTAACAGTCTTAGTCCAGAAGCAGGGGCTTCCTGAAAAAAGTAGGATATCACAAAAGTTGATAACGCTGCTGCTTGCTTATTGGCTTTAAATCTGACTGTGAAAGAACAAAGGAAATTAAAATTTGGAATTTCATTTTATACTGTATAGCCCCAAATTTGATTCAACTCTGCATGGGGGGCTTGGGTGCTTAAGGCTCATGGTTGACAGCCCAGATGTTGCAAGTTCGAGGCTATAGCAGAAGCACTCACAGTGAGGTCCTGTGAGATTCCAACAAATCTGCAAATTCTGCTAAATACCTTGTCATAACAAGGATATGAGATGGAAAGGAAGGAGCTCAGCATGTTTTTATCTATCAAAAAATTGACCTGGGGGTGCTTAAACTTCCTTCATCTTTCCTGCTGCTGTATAGCTAATGTCTGCTTCATGCTGTTGAGTTACAGTCCCTGACATTAGTGGATTATCTAGTACAGGTGTGGCCAGCCTGTGGCATTCATGCCACACAGCCAGCCTTAGGGGTGGGCGACCGCACAGGGTGTCGTGATTATGTGGGCACCGCGCACACATGCACATGCCACACTCATGAACAGCCCAAACTCACAGCAGCACTTTCCCCCTGCCCTGGCTGATCCCTGCCTCCAGGTGCTGCTTAGGAGGAGCTGAGCCAGCTAGTGTGAGTGGCAGCAGCACTGCCTACCCACCCACCTGCATAGCACACCGTGCTGCTCACCCTCCTCGCTGCACTACACCCCACACCGCTGCCTGCCTGCCTCTGCCTGCAGCAGCACCACTGACTTGGCAGGGAGGAGGCAGTGGGGGGGCACCAAAATACAAGTTGGCCCAGGGCACCATTTTCCCCAAGGTTGGTTGTGATGCCACATGAGTGGGTGCTCAGCACTTACAGAGCTTGCAGATGTTAAAAAAAAAAAACAACAGCAGCAACAAAACCACATTTTACCAGAAGCAGCAGGACCCAGCTCTGCAGCATCTGTAAAGATAGGGTGCTTTAGCGAGGCTTTTTAGTGCTTTTAGCTAAGGTGATTCAATCATGAAAGTGCCAAAAAAGTCCCACTGAAGTGCCTGTTTACAGATGCTGCGGGTAAAAGTAATGTGCCGCCCCTCCTGAGCGTGAGTGGGACTTGGTGCGGAAACACGCTGAGTTAAAAGGAACATGCCATTTTATTATTATTATTATTATTATTATTATTATTATTATTATATTTTATAAAGCACTGACCAGCAAAAAACAAAGTTGGTGCCTATGGGCAGCATGGGCAGAGAGCAGAAAGCAGAGTGGCAGATTGGCAAAGGAAGGGAATTGAAGTGGCATTCAGGGGGCTTAATTTGTGGCATGCCTGCCAAAAAGGCTGGCCCCTCACTGATCTAGTATTTGCTTGAATCGCTACATGGAGGATGGGGAATTTGCTGTCACTGTCAACACTATCTCAGGAAGGAAAAAAAAAGGGAGGAGGGGAATCTCCACTAAAGTTTGAGTTTACAAGCAATTCTGCACAACTGGATCTAAGCATACCTGCCCAGTAAACGTGCAGGAAGTGATCACTAGATGTAATGTAGTGGCAGCAGAAGACAGGAAAGAAAACAATAGTTTCATTTTTGTCCATGAAGTCATCAACTAGCTAGAGAGAGTAGAATTTCATTTTCACATGCCGTGGTGATATCCTGTTTTGGTTACTGTATGACGGTTCCACTGGAACTGGATCTTTCATTAGGCTTTAGCACAGATGCAGTTTAAATTGATTTTTTTTCTATCTGACCTGAAGAGCTGTGAATTAGTGAATCCATTTGAACATGAAGGGATCAATGTTAAGGGGGCTTGTGATCTATAGGCAAAATATCTCTAATGTTTCTTGGGTATTTCTAGATTGCAATGAGTGCAGCTTCTGTGGACACAACTGAGCTAGTTCAAAACTAGCTAGCGTGGAGAACAATAACAGTGTAGCTGCAACAGCATGGAAAATACTGCAGGTTTGTCGCCCAAATATTACTCAGCACCCTGTCTGGGTTTTGCAGCCTGTGCTGAGTTCAGTTCTGCAAGAACTCCTAGGCAAGCTAGCTAATTTAACACAAGCTCAGGTGTGTTTACATAAGCTGCTGTCACATCTTTGACTGCAGTATAGACATTCCCTTAGGCTCGGCAAGTCTCTGAAGGCCAGGACTCAGACTGACTTACTGAAGGGAAAGGTCAGGCAGTCAGAGGGTCTGAACAAATCCTTCCAGGATGCAAGTGAGCGAGGGAAAGCAAATGCAAAAAATAGTAATGCATTTACCTTGTCCTTCTGTCAGAAACTCTCAAAGTGTTTGAAAAATGAAACCATGAAAGAATAAGTGACTTGCCCAAGGTCACACAATGGATTAGCAGTAGAGAGGAAAGAAAGCCCAGGTCTCCTGTCTTCCAAAATTTTGTTTTAGCCTGTAAGCTAAATGTCTCTTTGTATTTACATTCAAATTACCCACACACTGCAGGGAGAGGAGGCAGCAGGGAGTTGTTTTCCTACCCGCCCATGAATGGGAAAGGGGACTATCTTGTTCTCTGGCTTGTTTTATTTTTTGTTTCAGCTTCCAGAAAAGCAAACCCTAATTACATGCATAACCAGTAACGAAAGGGTTTACAAATGTAATTAAAGAAGCAACTCGGCGATATGGGGCAGGAAAGGTGACCCTAGGCTCAGACCTTGTATGCCAAGCCCGAGCCAGTTCTCACAGTAGAGTGATACTATACCTTTAGGAGTGCATGGGTCAGCAGAAATTGATGACTCTGTCATCACTGGTAAGACAGTATTAGTAAGACATAAAGCAGTGTTGAGTAATTTGTTTACTGCAGTCATCAGCCTCAATCGTGAGCTGATCCAGAACCCATTGCAGTCAACAGAAAAATTCCCAATGACTTCTGTGAATTCTGGATGAGATCCTTAACTGTGCCTGTAATGTAGTGCAAACTGCTAATTAAATTGTCTGTTTTAATTAAATTGTTCACTCCTGAAATCAAAAGGCTTCTTTCTTCCTATTACTATCACATTTTTCAAGTTTGCTTCCACTTTGTACTTTCTACATCCCAGTCATGATGGGCTGCAGAACAATTCTCACTGTACAGTATTAAGAGCCTTCTTTGTTTGTATCACGGGAGAAACAATCATTTGCTCTTAGCATCAGCTGTAGACGTCACTGGCTGTGAGCAGCCTTGACTGTATCAGGAAATGCTGGGCCTGATGTCCCCTTACAGCAGTTGCAGCTGTACTGTGTCCCAATTACCTACAATGAGATTTAATGCTAATAATGACTGTAAAATTTCCACTGACAAAGTACAGGCATTTTCCATGTGTGGCTTGTAAGGCTGGTATATTCCTGCCTGTTTTTTGTTTATACAGAACTTTTAGAGAGTCTGCACATATGCTTTGTATTATCTTAAAAAACAAAAAACAAAAAAACCCCAACAGAAAACAGTTATTTTAAAAGGTAAACTCTTAAGTCACTTGTAACCCAGTTTCCAAAGACGGTCCCTCTCCATGCAATCAAGAGATGTATGCAAGCCAAATATATACACTGTCACTTTGCAGTACATGTCAAAAACCTCTGAAACATTCAAATAGTTTCTATTATACCCAAAAGGGACTGGAAAGAACTGCATGGATGCATGTTTGCTTGCACGTATGCACAGAATTGCTTAAAATGGTTATTACAGGAATGCCTTGGAGGCACAGGAGAGTGCCACGTGCAGACAGCTCAGGTACCAGGAACTGCAGCCTATTAGTGCAGTACAGAAACCTACTCAGACCACTTTACTGATGAGACATTACTTAATCTACTCCCCACGCTAGCTTGGGTACATCTACAGGACACTAAACTGTTGTGCTGTGTGGGCATCTCTTTAGTGACATGTAGCTGTCTTACTGGTGTCTCCAGCTGGACCGTTTCAGG